TGTGTGTGTGTGTGCACGTTCTCCCCTTGCTGTGTGTGTCTGCACGTTCTCCCCTTGCTGTGTGTGTGTGTGTGTGTGTGCATGTTCTCCCCCTGCTGTGTGTGTGTATATGTGTGTGTGTGCATGTTCTCCCCGTTGTGTGTGTGTGTGTTTGTGTGTGTGTGTATTTGTGTGTGCATGTTCTCCCCCTGCTGTGTGTGTGTATATGTGTGTGTGTGCATGTTCTCCCCTTGCTGTGTATGTGTGTGTGTATATGTGTGTGTGTGTGCATGTTCTCCCCCTGCTGTGTGTGTATGTGTGTGTGCACATTCTCCCCCTGCTGTGTGTGTGTGTGTGTGTGTGTTTGCATGTGTGTACATAGATAGATGACATTCTATCTAGATTGACATTCCACTGATATTCATATATACAGGTGCACTCACGTGTGACACCAAGAAGCCTTCAAAAGATATTCCAAGCCAGCAAAGTGACAGTAAGGGCAGCCGTTCCATTTCATGGGTCATTAGCAGCAGATGGTCTTTGCTTGTTTTGGTACCTCTTGCACAATGATTTGGCTATTTGTCGTTTGTTGTCGTTATTTCTTTACTGTTGCCAAATGGTCGCATTTTAATTAAGCTTATAGTATATTTCATTCTTGAATTTTGAACTCCACATTTGAAGACACATAGGCCCAACTGCAGAAAAGATCACACGTTGTTCTTCTGTGTGCAAGCTGCCCTCTTAACTCACCCAGAGAAAAACATGGCACATTAATCTTGCTAATATAGATGATATTTTTCTTTTTAAAGAAGTACTTTGTCAAAGATCCTAAGTCCTTCTAGATTCACCTTCTGGAACATTCATCACTGGTTGCAGAAGGTTAAAGAACACACACACCATACTCATCCCTGTCCTCCATTACCACAGATTTCTCAGTGTCCCAGCAAATCAGGACCACCAGCTTGTCAGTCGGCCAGAGCACCAACCTAAGCTGTAACTATACGGAGCCCCCAGAGCCCACGGTGTTTAGATGGTACCAAGATGACACCTTTATGCAGAGCACAAATACCAGTCAGCTGTCACTGGACAATGTCAACCAATCCATTGGTGGGAATTACTGCTGTATATATGAGAATATATGTGGAAATCATTCATCAGAATGTGTACAAATCAACATAAGTAAGATCTGCACTTTTCCTTGAATTTATTTGGTAAATCCATTATTTTGTCTTATGTGGCCAGAAAGTGACCTTGTTCTAAAGCTGGCTTTTGGTTTTTCTAAACTGCAACAGTAGACAACAGTACCGAGGTGTACGTCCTCATCGTGTGCGGCTTGGCAGCGGTGGTCTTCCTCTGTCTGTTCACCTGTGGAGCAAAATACTTCCTAAAGAGAGACATCGGTGAGTTTCATCCCTTAATTCACCAGTCAAAGCTCAGTCACTCCAACCACTAAACAGAAACTGTGGGTGCGTTTGTCAGAGGCAGAGCAACAGAATCCCACTTACCAAGGTTTTCTAAGCCTCATCTCTCCCACCACAAAATGAGCTGCTTCAGATCAGCCACACCTGACTGGGACCTTCACACAAAAGCCTGATTTTTTCCCCCCCACAGCCAGGGCCAGACACGAACATAAAGAGCAGAGACCAGTAACTGAAGTCTCCACCCTCTGGTGAGTGTCTAGCAATGCAACTCCACCCACATCCCTGCTGCTCCATAAACAAGGTTTCGGGGGTTGAAAGACTTACAGTATGTGGTTGTCTTAGCATCTAACTAGTGCTGAAGCCATAAGAATAGGTTTGGCTTCAGATCTGCACCCCCTATATGCACTATATATCATTGTGTTTAGCATTTTTTTTTCTGTGCTGGGCGTTTCCTGGCCCCATGAGTGGTTCGTGGGGAGTTGAGTTTGGGGTGTTGCATGCTATTGGTCTGTTCAGGCAGAGCAGGAAGTCACATATTTTTGCAGCAGAATAAGGGCTCATGAGAAAAGTGTTATTAGACACGCAACACGCAATGGCAATAATTTCATGCAAATCCCTGTAATTTAGCAGTGTGATGCTGTAACACCGAAAGCTCGATGTGATGACTGTGCTGTTCATCTGCCTTGCAGATTCCAAACAGAAATGCTGCTCCAGACTGAGACATGAAGACTTAAATGAATATGAATGGGTTTTCTTTCCTTGTTTGTCATACTCTAGACCAGGGGTGTCAAACTCCAGTCCTGGGGGGGCGGAGCCCTGTGTAGCTTAGTGCTTTCCCTGTTCCACCGCAAATGATCCAGCTCAACAGCTATGTGGTAATTAGCACAGGAAGTTGAATCAGGTGTGTTAAACGAGGGGAAACCCAAAAATGTGCAGGGCTCCGGCCCCCCAGGACTGGAGTCTGACACCTGTGCTCTAGACATTTGATGTTTATTATATATATAGTTATATTGCAACTGGTTGAGATGAATATTAGTTTAAAAACAGCCTCCCTGTGCAACCTCATTGCATTTCTTTCCAAACATTGTTGAATAAAAAACTGAGGATTTGAATGAAAGCTGTTGTCCCCAGCTGTGACGTCCCAGTGAGATAAGAGGAGGTTATCAGTGAGGGGAGAAGGCAGAGAGGAGGTGGTCAGGTACTGTAGGCCCACAAGGGAGAGGAAGGCTCTCAGGAGAGACAGGCCGGTTGAAGAGCAGGATGTGAGACGGGTTTAAGTGTCTCCTCGATGCCAGGTATACTCAGAATAGGTTAGAAGAGCTCTAAGAGTACACATACAGAGGAATGTGTGTGGGGGGGGGGGGGGCAGGGCTACGTCTATATTACACTGTAGGGACCAAAAACCTGTTATTTTCACATTGTGGGGAGGATTGCAAGTAATCTGAAGCCTATCCTGGTCATGGGTGTAAATTACAGAGGGGGTGGGGAGGTTGGAACCCAGTCAATAAATCAAAACTGGCTAATATAACCCCCCCAGTAATCATATTCTCCTCTAAATGGGTGGAGACATCAAGCCCCCCAATGTTCAAACCGAAGTTTCACCCTTGATTGCAGCTATAGCTGCAAAGCAGGGAACAACCCAAGATGGGGCCCCAACCCATTGCAGGGCTCAGTCACACACCATTCACTCACACACCATTCACTCACACACCATTCACTCACACACCATTCACTCACACACCATTCACTCACACACCATTCACTCACACTTTGGTAACTCCAACTAACCTCAGCATGTTTCTGGACAAGGGGGGGACAGAGTGCCCAGAGGAAACCCCAAAACAGCATGGGGAGGACATGCAAACTCTACACTTAGATGCTGGTCCCAGAGATGTGAGGCAACAGTGCTACCCACTGCACCACCATGTGATCACAGTCAAAAGAAGTAAAAATGCCCAAATTCTTGTATTTTGTTTGGTTACTCTTGGTTAAGGTTAGGGCTGGGTGGGGATTAAAGGTGTCATCGTTGGGATTATTGTTAGGCACTTAGAAGTGAATGGAAAGTCCCCACAAAGATACTGAGTGTGTGTCTGCATTATTTCCTGCTTTATGCCGATATCTTCCAGACCCTGTGACCCTCCATCAGACAACTGGGCACAGAAAATAGATGGATACAAAAATATTATCTATCAATCCAGTGTATTTCTGGTTGCAATTAGGAAAGGAAATGATAAAAGGAAGAAAGAAGAAAACAAGCAATTAAAATGGAGAAGTATGAAATGTAATAGTGGGCGGATCCAGGAACAGAACAGCATACCCCAGAGAAACATCCACCCAATATGCAGAGTAAACTATTCTTAGGGTCATAACAGATGTGCAGGGCTGCTTTTTTTTCTTTTTTTGGGGGGGGGCACACAGGTCACCTGACTCGTATGAGTGGCAGGTGGCTTGGGGACAATGCAGGTAAATTGGCTAATACAGAAGGACAGCTGTGAATGCAGCTTAATCAGGCTTTCATAATCCTACAAGCTCCGCCCCCATCCCTGAAGGCTCCACCCCTCTCTGTGGATGCCTATGCTTTCGTGGGTTGCTTGTTCCTCACATAGCATGCTGACCTGCGGGGCTCGTTAGCGAATGCGGGTGTTTATCGTCGCCGATGGAAAAACAGGGAGTTGGGCGAAGTTTAAAAGCTCATAGACTTGTACGCTCTCAGTCACCCCCTCAAACCAGTGTGAGATGATGATGGCAGGTGTCTTAAGCATCAGATTCTGCTCCCGCTTAAAAAATCCAGTCCTGTAGGGCAGCACATCAGAGTAAAGTTCGCAATGCAGTTCTACTGTAATCAGTCATCCAGTCATTTTATCATGATTCGCTGGCTGTAGTATTTCATTGTTTCTTCACAGAATGATTTTTCTATTCCCTGCCAAAATTAATTTTATGCCAGAAACATTTCCAGACTTTTTCGCTGCTTTTTCACTTTGGGTTTCAGCAGCTTTATATCATCATCCTCTCCCACGCCACAGTAATTACTTGCAATGGTCCAAATGAAAGCCCTCTCAGCACTGATATTTTTATTACAATCAGGTCCAACTGGACATTTAATCTGTAGCATTTCAAACCGAGACAGATGCGCTGTATAGTGTTTACAGACAATTAAAGGTAATGTTTTGTGGGGCATCACATGTATTAGATGTAAAAATTCAAAAGCATGCAGTTAGGTGAATTTTTGTCTTTAAATTGCCCATAAGTTGTAATGGACTGTCATCCTGTCCAGGGTATCTATCCCCTGCCTCATTCCCTATGCTGCCTCGGATTGACTCCAGGCTCTCAGTGACCCTGTCCTGTGATGTGTGTGATTACCTTATATCATCGTCTCCCAGAGGTAGCCAATGGAGTTGTCAGTAGGTTAAACCCCTTTCGTGATTGACAGCCCTGTCTGCTTTAGTTTGAGTTTGCTGTAAACAGCATGTAGACAACAACTTGAAGAGCATGTGAGGTATGATCTGAAGATCCCATCTCTCGTCAAGCCAAACTGGGCGACGATGTCCATGGATGGTGAGGCTCATTTAGAGGATGAGCAGCTTCTAGGTGAAGGAATTCCAGACACAGGTTTTGCTTGTGCATTTAGGTTGTTCCCCTGTTTGCTGTCTTAATGGTTTTTTAAAAAAAATCTCCAGTCACCATTTGGCACAGAATGTGTACTTTGACCTTTGGGTAAGATCTGAGTTTGCATGTAGAATATAGTGTAAAAAATAATCAGGGATATGTAAAGGTTAGGGTCAGTTCATATGGACTGGAGCTAAAGAAGTCAGCTAAACCCAAGTATAAATGGCTAAAAATGGAAACCTAAGTGAATTTCTCCCTTTGAGACAAATAACCTTGTTTGCATTCAATTTACTTAGCTGCCCATGATATCCCTTGTAACTTTGTAACTGTAGTGAGAATTTTCACAGTTACCGGTACTTTGGATATGGAAATGTTTCTCAAATGTTGTCTATGTTTCAGTAACAATGAAGCCTTGCATTTCCTTACTAAGTACTTGGTAAAAAATTGGTGTAACAGGGAATTTTTTTTTTTTTTAATGTGGTGACAGTGAAAAGATGACACAATGACTAACTAGTTAGCACTGCCCCCTCATAATTCCACATTTGGGGGTTTAATCCCCCACCCCATTTCTGCGCCTAAGGTGTTTGCATATTCCCTCCCTGTGTCGTGTGAGTTTCTTCACACATAAACTGTCACTGGATTTTATCTCTGCTTGCTACTTTTATAGTCTCCCATTGGCGTCTGGCCTTGCCCTGCTTTACCACTTCACTGTACAGTCTTTATTAGTTATACCTTTTTAGAGCTGCAATATTTTAATTTAGGTACTTTTTTGCATTGCAGGAAAATGAGCATGAGTGCAAAGCATGCAAATTGTTTTGCAGACACAGGTTCTGAGTTGTTGTAGCAGTCACAGCAGATCCCTAAAGGTCAAAGGTAGAGAGAAATACAAGAAACTACAATAACTAACATGGGGTAACTACAGCTAATAATCACATAGGGAAAAAAAACCCAAAGTAACAAGTGAACACAATCAGGGAACCAAGCAAGACTGGAAAATAAACCACAATGACCGACTAAGGAAGAGAACAAAGGCAGATACTTCAATACACTACTAACAAGATAAGAGGAAGGAGAGATAAAACCAAAACCAATCAACCAATTACTAAGGACTCCGAGCAACAAGGAACAGGTGGGTATATTACAATTTACAGGCATTGCAGACTAGAAAACAGTAAGGAACACTGAGGGCTATCAACACCAGAGATCAAGGAATATAAGCAAAGCAGAACATAACCAATCAAGGAATGAACAGGGTAACCATTAAGAACACAAAAGCAGAAGGTATTAACAATGCCAGATTCCAACGGATAAAATAAAAACAAAATATTAAATATGAGGTGAGACTTGCCTTAAGCCTGCCTTGAACTCATGACATATAGGATGTCTGCTTCTAAGCCACACACTCAGCCCGTTAAGCCACAGGGCAGGACACCAGGTAACCACCAAACAGGATGACCAGTGGGACCTGCTGGCCAAACGGGGAACAAGCACACAGGACGGGGACAGACAGGCACGACCCTAACATCTACTGCATGGGTCACCAAACTTTTCAGCCCTTAAAAGAGACTTGAGAACGTTTTGCCGACCAGAGGAGGGAGGTGGACCCCCCCCAGTATATTTTTAGAGTGATCAGTTATTGCAATATTTTTCACATTAAGATGGGAGCCCCTGCTCTACTGAATGAGATTTTGGAAGATATTTGTTTATTATAATACCTTTTTAAACCATGCGATATCCAGTAAGTATACCCAACACACCCTCAACTATGACTTCAAACCTGGAATTTTTCTGTTTTTGATACATTCTAAAGAGCGTCTAACATCATAACATCAGTGTTAGCTCAGGTACAACATCTCAGGTATGAGAGCCGTAATATCTGTGATGATCTTCTAGTTTCAAAGCATTTTTTCGGTAGTAGGTTCAAGGGTCTCGCTTACCGGAATTTGATGTACAGAGCTGGGACCCGGCGGGGGTCTATATCCTCAGCAGAGCCCCCCCCCCCTTAATAAAGAGGAGCGCTCCGGGCTGATTGATGAGGAGATATGAAGAACGTGCCCATACTCATCTTTGCAAGCAGGAGCTGGAGGCCACATCAGCCATGGGCGCCATGGCAGAGGGCCTCAGCCTGCGGGGGGGAGGGGGGAGGGGGGGGAGTGCTGTAATTAGTGTGTGTTGGCCAGCCGTGGTGTCAAGCAGGCGTCAGTGATGGAAAC